AAACCAAAGGCTTAGAGGAGTTAGGGCAAGGAGGTTCCACCTCTGTAGGATAATTAAGGTTGAGATGGGCTGTAAAAGAGGTAAGGTGGGAGACCTTTCCACGTAATGAATCAGCTGGGATAAAGGAAGACACCAGAGGATGAAAGGTTGAAATTGTGAGTCATCCAGTCTGGCTGGCGTACAGGGAACATACAGGGAAGTTAGGTGGAGATGGAACTGGAAAGATAGTTTGAAACTAGGCGAGGAAAGCCAAGAACAGCAGGCTGAGGGGTTTGAACTTGGTCCTTCCTCAGAGAGGGCTGGCTCCCTGAAGGTCCTTGGGCAGGGACTGCATGGTCAGTGCAGCGCTGAGGAATGTGCACCTGGATACACCGTGCAGGCTGGTGGAGGAGAGGTTACAGCCGCCTGAAAGGGAGTGGGGGCACAGAGGCAAAGTGGGCTTCCACGGAAGGCTTGGGAGGGTCTGGGACAGCGTGGATGTGAGAGGACAGAGGCATGGGTGACTGAGAACTGAGAAAGGGCAGAGAGAGGAGCTGGAGAAGGATGAGGAGAACCAGGGAAGGTGCCCTGTGGGGCTGCATTAAGTAAACCGAGCACGTCTTGTTGAGTCCCAGTGGCCTCTCCTTTCCTTCCTGTCACCGTTGCTGTGAGAGTGTGCAGCGAGGGGAGGGCCAGGCTTGCAGGAGGGGAGTGAGCCCCCCAGTGCAAAGCATTCTACTGAATAGGCCATTCATGTGAGCCCATTTAGTCCTCAGAGCAGCCCCGTGACTAGAGAGTAGGAGCTGGGTAGTATCTTGCTTTTGTGGGTTAGGAAACAGGCATAAAGCAGGGAATTAACTTGCCAAGGTCAGACATCTAGTAACTGATAGAGCTGGGGTGTGAACTCAGATTTTTCTGACCGCAAAGCCTGAACCCTTAACCGCTGTGTAGAGTGATGATGTCTCTGAGGGATGTTGGAGTAGAAAGAAGGAAAGATGACGGGTTCTTTTCCAGTGAACAATGTTCACTGTTAAAATGAACCAGGTTGGTGTGAGCTCCTTGAGGAGCAGGGCGAGCCCCCATTGGGTCATAAGTGACCAAGTTTGGAGCAAGCCTTCAAGCCCAGGGCTCTGCTGCAGGGAAGGCTGCTGACCAGTAAAGAGGGACGTTTTTGACTCTTGGCACCAGAGAGCGGAGAAATCTTCCCTGAGGAGTGAGACTTGAGCCCAAGCCCGAAGGATAGATGCATTTCTTGGTGAAACAGAGCAGGGAGGGCATTCCAGTCTGGTCAGAGGACCTGGTGCAAAATCCGTGGGGTCCTCAGGCTCGGGGGGCGCTTTGGATATTTGAAAGACAGAAAGGAGGCCAGAGTGGCAGGGTCCCAGGGAGCAAGTAGTTGACCAAGAGCAGATGACCCTATGTACAGATCTTTGTGGGCTGAGGATTTTTAGCCCTAATTTAAAAGCCCGGGGAAGTCACTGAAGGGTTTTAAGCAGGGGAAGAACATTATCTGATCACATTTTCCAAAGCTCACTGGCTGCCGAGTGGAGAGTGACTCAGAGCAGAGCCACGCGGAAGCCATGTGAAGGCCACGCTAGTTCTGAGGCAGTGTCTCCCAGACGCCCTTGAGGGGTAAAAGGATTTCCCGCAGAGGGAAACACCAGTACTCAGGCCTGGGGGTTGCAGTGGGGTTGGGGCTGGCGGCCTTTGTCATCAGGCCGGGTTGGGAAACACTGCTGTGGGTGGGGTAAAAATGAACAGAAATGAACTCCACTTTAAAAGTAATTTTTACAAAGTAAGTTCCTGAAGAGCCAAGGTGGTGACTTGGTTTGACTGGATTGTGTCTTTTTGCCCACGGCTGTCATTTGTTGAGGAAGATAAAGCTGAGAAGAACAATTGCTGGGGCATAAGCCCAGTCGGAAGCAGCTGGCAGTGAGTTTTAGTCATTACGGTGGGTCTCTGGTCTTGTTGTGACTGCGGGAAGGTGTGGGTCCCAGCCTCCGAGTGCTGCATCCCCCCAGCTCTTCACATTATTCTAGCACTGACTTGGGCTGCAGGTCTCTGGGACCTTGTCTGCCTTGGTGGTGTCCTGTCGAATGAGTGACAGAACTCAAACAAGTGAGACTATAGGCTTGTGTGTTGACTGGTATCACACCGACAACTTTTCCTGGGAGGCAGGAGGTGAGCTGGGGCCTGGAGTCAGACAGAACTGGGTTAGGAGCTCTGCTCTTCTGCCTGTGTGACCTGGGGCTGGGTGCCAACCCCTAGTTTTTCTCATTTTTGTCTTTGTTGTAAGGTTTCTTGGGTTAAATGATAAAGATAAACTGTATTATGTACCCAGTGCATAGTAGGTGCTCAAAAGCTAGTCCACCATCCTACCCTCTTCCTACTCCCCCTCAACCATTTCCCCCCATTAACACTGTGGTACAACATGGTTTGTAGAAAGAACGTGGACTCTAATGGGTAGATTCTACCAGCTTTTGTGTAGACAAGATCTTCCACCAACATCCATCTGTCCATCTCTCCAGCCAGTCACCGTGAATGAGCACCTACTAAGGGACAGACGTAGGAACCAGGAGCCGGGTGTAGAGCTGTGCACTCTCACTGTCTCAAGAAGCAGGAAAAAAATGTCTTGAAAACACTAAAGAGGTAGCATCTTACGGTTCGGTGCTGTATTTTGGTTTCCACACTGGGCATGAAAGTACCACCAGAGGCAGTTTCCTCCTGGAGAAAGGTTACTGTGAGATAGTGTTCCTGTCTGGCCGGGTTACCTCGCGCCCCTTTGCTGGCTGCTTCATCCTGAGGCTGGAAGAGGCTTTGATGCTGGCAAGGCACTCAGGCAGGCTTAGTGTGTGGACGGAGAATGGAGCCGGGCCTCTGAGCAGTAGGCGTGTGGTGTGGCGTCAGCTGGGAGGACTTACCTCTCCAGGCAGATCACCTGGGATTAGGTTACCCTACATCAGGGTCCTTGTGAGAATGGAAAAATCCCGGAACCTCGGGTGATTCCTGTATCTTCCCTCGTTCTTGCAAAAGGGACCCTCCGGGATCCTATTTAAGATCTAGATCTCCAACTCCAAAGTCCTCAGTTTGCCAGGTAGGACATGCAGTGGCCCCGCTTCCCAGCTACGAAGGTTGCATTTGCCCTTCTAAGGCCGCTTTTTACCCCCAGGGTCTTGGAGATCAGCAGTTAAGGAGCAGGACCCTACTCACAAATGAGTGTCACCGAGGACCAGTTAAGCTCTCAGGACATGGAATGTCTTCCCTTGGAGAGAAGCCTGCTCACTGGGCCTTCCTGAAGGCTCTCAGCCCCAAAGGGCACTGCCAGGCCCCATGGAGAGGCACTAGCTTGAGATGCCAAGAGATTTCGTTTCTCACCTCAGCTCTCCCAGAACTCTGTGTGACCCTGAACAAGTCACTTAACCTCTAGATGTTAGTCTCACTTCGTCTCCATTTGGCCCTCTAATAGCCAGATTGTAATAGTGGATGGCAGAACTCTCACACTGTTAACATTCTGTAATTTCAACCCACAAATATCGCCATTGGCGTTATCCTTTGTATTTTTGTTTCAGATCCCTTCTGCCCCCACTAGATTATAAAGTTCCATGAAGGCAGGATCTCCGCCGTATACATCTCCACCGCTCACCTCCCCCCTCAAATATCTAGCAGAATACACTTCACATGGTAGATGCTGTAAAGATCTGTTTGATGTGCTGATTGTACACTGGCGTCCAGTGCAAGACCCCTACACTGAGCCTACTGATCCTGGTTTTTGTGACTATCCCAGCACTGAGCACCACTACTGACCACCCTGAGTTGCTATAATTCACAGGCTGGAAAGCCAATCAGGATGAATCAGCCCTTTGGCAGGTGATGAATGGTGTTGTAATAGGACATGCAGACAAATCACTTCTCTCCCTGTAATTGTTTTCAAGTTCAATAAAGGAAAAGCAGAAAGAAATGAGCTGATAGAAAAGGTTTTATGACTAAAATTAAAATTTCATAAAATGATGCCTTTACGTTGTAGGGGAAAAAAGTTATAATTACATACAATCTCATTAATGTTTAAATGCAGCATAGAGAAATAATCCCAAATAAATACAAAACAAATAAGAAATTGTGGACATTTTAGATATATATATATATATAAATAAAGGAAAAACAGGACCTTGAGACAAAAGACTTACCTTTTTTCACCCTTGGAATTTGAGGCTTGTCTGAGTTCTCAGGCTATTTTTCAGTTTCTCACTTGGGATTATGTGTGGCAGAAGGGTTTGGGGAGATGTATCGCAGTTAGTCACTCCTGAATCAAGGCATTTCTGACCTTGGAAATACCCAAGGCCACTGGAGTTTGAACTCCAACGCAGATATGAGATGTTTCAGTTTGTCAGTGTGCATGTTTGAGTGTGTCTCTGTGTGTGTGTATTTCTAGCCAGTTTGTATATACCCATGTCCTGTCTGTATAAATTTATGCTGTGATGTGTGACTTTACACCACAGATGCTTTGTAAATTACTAAGCTACTCACACAATGAACTTCAGCTTTCACGTTTGTAAATGTGGAAACAGCTTTAGGATTCTGTCTCACTGAATGCAAATTCTTAGGGTTGTAGGGTTTAAAACTTTTCCTTCAGCTGGTCTCTCAGCTCCATGTTAACAGATTCTGTGAAATCAAGAACTTAAGTAGCAGGAAAAGAAAAATCAAGATTGATTTACTTTATCATAGACAAGGGAGGGTAGGAGCCTTCATTCATTAGTTTGCACCTGGAGAAGAGCCAGCCTGCATTGAGAATCCCAACTGTAATCTTTTTCAATAGGTGTTGATAGTAAGAGTGGTCAGCAGTGTGTGAGCTGAGTTGTCAATCTAAAGAAAGATCTTTCTGGTATCTTGAGGGGGAAAAGTCCCTTTTTGAATTTTTAAAAGGACTAGACATTAGGGGTTATGTTTCTTATGAAGAGCCTCTTAAATGTGTGCTGTCACCTCTTGGCCATTGGTGCTATGATTGATGTCTCTGTCTTCTATAGCTTGGAATTGCGATTGGGTTCTTGGTCCCTCCTGTCTTGGTACCCAACATCAAAGACCAGGACAAGCTTGCCTACCACATCAGCATCATGTTCTACATAATAGGAGGTGTGGCCACTCTGCTTTTCATCCTTGTCATCATCGGTAAGGTCATTAGCAGACTGATGGGGGAAGGGGAGGCAGGGAGGTTCTGCTGACTTGGGTGAGGACCTTGTGAACATGGCCCTAGAACACCATTCTAGGTACCACGTATTCTATAAAGTGTGTCTATAGAAACAGGAGGCCAGGCTTCCAGTGGTCAAGTGTTTAAGCCTGAGTAACTGCTGCCGATACAGTGCTAGCTGGTCCTGTGTGCTTTGTTAGAGGCTCCATAAAGGTTAGCGGTAATTAACCAGTTTCCCAGCACAGCCTCATTAGAATTAATGGGCAGCTTGCTGACCCCCTTTATGAGCCAGTGCTGAGTATACTTGATCTCACTGACTCCTCAACAGCCCTGTGAGGGAAGGTACCATTATCATCTCACTTAACAAAGAGGAAACCAAGACTTGAGGGGAGTTAAAGAAATTATTCAGGATTAGATAGTAAGTGACAGAGGTGGAATTCAAACCCATGTTTCTCTAACTCCCTACTGTAAATTTCTGGAACAACATGAAACAAAACAGGGTTGATGCATATTGATCCACAAACACTAATACTCTCATAGATTCACCTGAGAATGCCTGGGGACTACATTTTTAAAAATGCTTTAAAAAATATATGTATGAGTAATATACACTCATTATGAAAAAATCAAAAATACAAAATAGTGTAAAGGGAAGAATGATTAATTTAGCCTTATACCAGTTAATCCCAACCACCAACATCAGAAAACTGCTTTTATTTGTATGTATATATAATCATTGAGATATTTAGTTAATATAACTTATGTCCTCTTTTGTCATCTGACTGATATAACATGTGCTGTGATAAATGCAGAAACAGCGTAGTAGAGTTTTTCATGTTCAGTGATTTATCCATCTTTAAAGGTTAACCAGCTTTCTTCCTAATATCTGAAAGGTTTCATTCCTTCCTGCTGGCCTCACCTCCAGAGTCAAACAGTTTTATAATCATGTGCCTCATTCAGCTGTTCTCACTGTGTCTTTTCCTCCTTGGGGTCCGTACTGTGTCTCTCTCTCCTCTGGGTCGAAGCTGAAGAAGGGCTACCCAATGGTTTTCCAAAGCTCACGGGATCACAGATCTCTTGGATGGAGGGCTTGGTGTCCCTGGAAAGGTAGAGATGCTGTGGAGCTGTGGCTGAGAACAGGATAGAACAATCTTGGCCAGACTTGAAGTTTCAAGTTGTACTGGGCCCCATTCCAAATTCTTGTGTTTGTAGCAGATGAGGGCCTGGGTTTTTGCAGTTGAGATCCTGGAGGTAGGACAGTTCTACACTTTGGCATTTTACTGTTAAGCACAGATGATAGCTCACTGAGTAAAGAACTGAAAAGTCTTATCTGAATTGTGGTTGGTTGCCAAATCCTTGCACAAACAGCTGCTGTTGCAGAGATAAAAAAATAAAACCTTGCCTTGACTTCTTTCCCCTGATAGAAGGGGGGTGAACAGGCAAGACAATGGGTGAGAAGTTCCCAACGGTGGGAAGTTATCCAGGACTATTTCCGGAGAAGGAAGAAGCAGGGCTCTGAAGTCTGAGCTGGAGGGTTATCTGGGTGGGGGACCCTTTGATCTTCAAGGGAGTAAACCTCATTTCCAGAGCTTCCTCTAAAGGGAGACAATCTACTGACCTTTCTGGAGTGTTCTCATGGGGGCTGGGGGAGGCAGCATGGTGCTTACTTGGACCCTATTTGGGGGCCAGTTTAGCCAAACAATTGGTTCTACTGATCTGGCCCCCAGAGTACTGAACAGCCATCAGTGCAGTCAGATGGATTGTACCAGTTGTACTGAAAATAGAACACAAAGCAAATGGTTTTCTAAGTGCCCCTCCCCAGTCCTTCCTATGAGAGTGACCACTCCTGCAGGGGCCTGTGTTAATCCTCTGGTTTCTTTGTGAGGCAGATATCTGATTCAAACTTTGCAACTAGGAAGGGACTCAAGATCTTTCCAATAGAAGAAGACCCTTTCACTTATGCAGGGAGTGTTTATTGGCAGCCACATTCCTGGCTCTGTGCTAAGCATGGGCAACACCGACCCTTCCCCCTCGGGAGGAGCTCTGGTGCTGAGTTTGTAACTGGGCTCACTAATCCCAGAGCCTCAGCTCTCACTTCCCTCTATGCCCCAGCTACTATGGAATTTGTCAGTGCTCTGCCATACGTTAGTCACCAGTTTTTATACAACTCCTTGATCCTTGAACGCTGCCTGGGAGGCCCAATGATTGCAGCTGTCCAGAGGCCATTAAGAAAAATAATCAAAGCTCACAGAAAGTGAGATGCAGCTTCAAGAGAATGAATTGAAGAATTAATATTTCCTCTTGGAGTCTTAGTTCCTTCTCATTTGAGGGAGTCGGGTCTTATCCAGGTGTCAGCTCTGCAAGGGTGGGACCACAGGGATTTACAGTGATCTCTCTGTTCCTTTGCTTTCAGTATTCAAGGAGAAGCCGAAACATCCCCCCAGCAGGGCCCAGTCCCTGAGCTATGCCTTGGCGTCTCCTGATGTTTCGTACTTAAGTTCCATAGTCCGACTCTTCAAAAACCTCAACTTCGTGCTGCTGGTCATCACTTACGGTAAGATGCAGATGTGTCCAGGAGTGTACCGGAACTGGGAATGTGGGACAGAGACCTGCTATGTCTGTTTGTCTTACTGTGTCCAAATCCCACATGCATGTGTTTGTGTAGGGTCTACCAGTAAAGCCAGCTGTGACTCATGGCCTTTGCCTGGTCTGTAAAGTTTACCTAGAAAACCGTTCCTTCCCATGTCAGGTTGTCTGACAAAACGCCCACTGATCCTCTGAGTCTCATGTCAGTGTGACTGCTGTGAAGCAGTGTTAGGTGACCTTTCCTGTTTTATTGTGTGTTCCTGGTACATGTTCACACTTACCATTAAAAAAAAAATCACTTCTAGGTCTGTCTTCCCATGAGACTCTGAGCTCCCAGAGAGTGGGGACTTATGTCCTTTATAGGTCCTCAGCAGTGGTCAGGCAGGAGTGGATACTCCCGCAGTTATTGAATGAGTGATTGAATGAATGAATGAATGAATGGTTGGATGTTTACATGAGTCTTGCCACCTGAACCACTCCTCAACCAGTCCTCCTTCATCTTATAACATTGCCCCTTTTTTACCTGAATGCAAGACAACTTCCCTCTTTCATTTCATTTTCCTGGCTTTCGGTAAGATAAATTTCAATATTTATGGGGGTGTATTGGGTTGCCTTTCCAGCATGGTATTGCTGCATTTTTGTTCTAAGCTTTCATGAGAATGTTGGACCAGACAGAGGTGAGGACAGAACCTCAGGCTCTGCATTAAAGAAGGTCTTTTCAGTTCCACCCAACTCTACTGCTGTCCAGCCTACACTGGACCACTTAACCCACAAGTTCATTTGATGAAGATCAGGATGAAGCCCTGGTGTATCATGCTCAGTAACCATAAGAAAAAAATAAGTAAGATTGGCTTGACATGATTTATTCTTAGTGAAACCCCAGCTGGCTATAACCTCAGGTTTTCCCCTAGGCTCCCAAACTGTGTGTTTTATTACAACAATAGCATTTACTATGTGCCACGACTTTTCATACATGATTTTATTTAACTCCTACCACACCTGTGTGAGGTAAGTACCATAATTTTCCCCAATTAACAGATGAGGAAAGAGAAACTCAGAGAGATTAGGTAAGTAGTTCAAGAACACACAGCTTTTAAGAGGCAGGGCCAGGGTTCAAAACAGGTTTGTCTAACTCCAAAGCCTCCACTCTTAATACCTGATTCATGATTGCTTACACTGCTTCCTTGAATTGTGCCAACATTTTATTTTAGGCTTATCAATGCCCTTACGTGAATAAAAGTGGTTATCTGCTAAGGCTTTAGATAAAAGGTGATATCCTCCACAGAGAGGCATGCCTGTTTCTCAGGCATGCGCACAAGCTAGGTGACCTCTCACCTGGAGTAGCCCCAGCTAACCACATTAGGCTTTAAGGTCTCTGGTCTGCATTTCTCCCTCTCTCCAGCTTCTTAGTTCTGAGTATGTCTCTGTATTCATCCCCAAAACAAAGTTTCTAATAGTTAGGATGTCCAGCTAAAGATGTCAGGAGCTGCTCTCTGTGGGAGGTATTCAAGTGTAGATGGAACCAACCACTTCGTGGGGATAGTGTGGCAAATATCAGGCTATAGATGGATAGTGAAACCTGCTGCCTTTTGGGTTCCCTTCCAGACTCAGGATTCCATGCGTCTATGAACTTTCACTTTTCCCTAGACTGAAACATCTTGAGTGCATTGATCTTTGAACACTTTAAACCTTATTGCAAATGGGTATTTGAAGCCTAACTTGGAATTCTAGGGTGGATGAGTGCTTAATAAATATTTTCTGTGAATGAGAATGGTGATGGTGGTGACAACAGGGCAAGGGTCTCATTCCAGAGGCTGTGGTCTCATTCAGTGCTGGAGGCTGTTGATGGCAAGGTCAGGTCACTGACCCATGAAAATGGAATAAGAACAAAATGTACCAGGGACAGTGCCGGTCCTGGTCTCTGAGAGCTCAGCTCTGGGTCATGCTGTGGACATAAAGCAACTCCTCCTCTTTTGTATGGCTAGTTGCTTTTATGGTCTTCAGTCTGGCAGAGTGGTGCTAATCTTACTGTGCATCTGGATAGCCCTCCTTACCTATTTGGTTAAGTGATAACACAGGAAGTGAGTAAGGTAATGCTGGAATGGTGGAGTTAGAACCTTAGATAATCTGTTCGTCCATGAAAACGAAAAGAACACTGGCAGACATTGTCAAAATGAATTATATCAGAATTCTTAACCAAAGGCTTGTAACAATCTAAGGGACATCTATTCAAGACAAATGGCTAAATCATGCTAAAACAGTGAGCTTTGTGTTTTAACTTGCCCTGTTCTGATCCCCTTCTTCCAGACTCTGTGGTAGCCTTGAAAACCAGCAGCCTCCCAGACACGGTAGCTTTGAAAACTAGCAGCCTCATAGCCACAGGACGGGGCCAAACAATTTTGGAGCTCTCGCAAAAGTTCCACTTAAGCCATGTGGCAGGGCCCTAGAAAGGCCCCATTCAGAGGACTTGCCTATATTTGACCTGACTCAACTTTTTCAGTGGGAAAACCGTATCCCCAGGGCATTTGATGAAAACAATCACTGTTTAACATCACAGCTGCCTGAGGTAGGAATACCTCAGTTGGGGTAAACGAGAGTCAGGCCAAAGATCTTGAAAGGAAAATCTAGAGAATGAGATGTCCTTGGGGCTTCAAAAACTCTGACATATTTTTCTAGGCATTCACATACACATACAGAGTTGAACTCATGCCCAGAAAAGACCTGAAAAAGCCATGAAGTGTCACCTCTGGCTGAACTTGAGGCTTTATGCAAGCAGGAATTGAAAGCTAAGGCAGAGTTGTCACCTGCCTGCTGGAACATTGCAGATGAGTCCCAACACACACATCGAGGTCTTCGGCAAAGGTGGGAGACTTACTGCCTTAAGGTATTCAAGGAAATCTCTGTCCAATCATTAGCTCACCACTAAGCTAATAGAGCAGAAACTTAAGTGGCTACACATGACAAAAAATACAAACTTCACAAAATGAGTCTAGGAAAGTCATTAAACAAACAGCAGCAATAGCAACAAATCCTGGGGAGAGAGGAGAATCTCGTTTCCAGAGCTGACGTGGTATTTATAATGTCCAGTTTCAACAAAGAAAATGTGAGACATGCAAAGAAACAGGACAGCAGGTCTCATATACAGAAACTAGTCCTGAGGAAGCCCAGATGTTGGACATAATAGACAAAGATTGTAATTCACCCTCTTAAAAATATATTCAAAGAACTGAAGGAAACCATCGTAAAGAACTACAGAAAAGTAGAGAATGTCTCTCCAAATAGAGGATATCAAGAAAGACAGAAATAAAAAAGAACCAAATAGAAATTCTGGAGTTGAATATGCAATAATTGAAACGGAAAACTCACTACAAGGCTCGACGTTAGATCTAAGCTGGCAGAAGAAGGAATCAGTGAACTTGAAGGTGGGTCAAATACAATGATCCTGTTTAAGGAACAGCAAGGAAAAAGAAGGAAGATAAAGAAGCAAAGCCTCAGAGCCATGTGGGAAACCATCAAGCATACCAATGTATCCACAACCCAGGTCCCAGAAGGTGGGGGGAGAGAGACAGGGTTGGGAGTAGACTGTCATTACATTGAGATGATACTGAAGTAGAAAAACAATTCGCTTCTGAGCGTCTGGAAGCAGTTGACTCTGTTGTGTGTAGGTAGAATTTATTCACATTTTTCTCAAAGGCCTGAGATGACCCCAGGGAGAGAGTTAAACTAATCTGTTGGTACATGTTTCGTTAGAGTCACAAGGAGCCTTATTTTCACGGTATAGCATTGGACTTGGTGATAGGGTTCTTTGCCAACAGGGAAATGATTCTCAGGTTTAATCACAGATTTGAAAAAAAAAATGTTACTGAGCCATTACTGTGTGCCAAGCACCATGTGAAGCGCGTTACATGCATTGTCTCACTTAATCTTCAAAAGGAACCCATGACATAGGTGCTTAACTGCTCCATTTTATACCTGAGGAAACTGAGGCTCTGATTTAGTTCCTTGCCCATACTTGGACAGCTAGCAAGTAACGGAGCTTAGATATAAACTTCTGTCTGTCTGATGCCAAAGCTCATCTTCCTAACCATTGCACCATTTTCCCTCCTTGTGCAGGAGCCTCCTGGAGACAGAGCCATGGGTCTGTTTTCAGCCCCCCTTGCCTGAGTGGCCTCTGGGTCTGTCTGGCGGTGGTGGGGTGGGAGAGTCCTTCCTCAGACTCAGTCTTCCAGACCAGTTGCCTGGGGCTTGCTTTCTTCTAAGAAGATGGTCTAGAGTTCTAGGTGTAGGAAGCAGGACCAGCCATGGTGATAAGGGGGTCTCAGCCTTAGCCTGTCTCTCTAAGGTTTACAAGTCATGGGAAGACAGTGTTTGGTATTCAGTCCACCTGAGGATTCCTGCTCTCCTCTCCCACTATCTTTGCTGCAAATTAAAAATACACACAAAACATAAACCCCACTACAGATTCAGCTAAATGCTTTGGAACCTCCCAGAATTCCCTCCAACCTCCCTGAAGTTTCAGGTTGAGCTTTGAAGAGGGAAATGGGCCACACTTTATATATACACATATAACCATAATATATACATACATTATCTAGTACACGTGATATTCATATTTTCCTCTGAATTGTGAACACTTAGAGCATGTGGTTAGAAACTGAGCAGTTGGTAGCGTTTCAGGGACGCATTTGCTGGATGTGGGGGGCATGTCGTGGAGTAAGAGCCTTGACTGCTGGACCAGTGAGTTCAGAGTTAGCATATAAGGAGCACGAGGTCTGAGTTTTATTGTCAGCTCTGCTACTTACTGCATGTACCACCTTCACCCATCCTGTGCTCATCCTTTCTCTCTCTAGTTACTTCAGAAGGGAGTAATAACATTTGCTTTCCATTGGAGTGCCCTGAATAGAAATGAGCATTTTAAAGTAATTATGAATCAAAATACTGCATGTATCCACATTGCTGTTGTGTTGGTAAACTTGCCCACTCTCTACTTTTTTTTTTTTTTTTGGTCTGAACTAGATTTTGCCGAGTAGGCAGAAGCTCTTGTGCAGTTGGTGGGATGTTCAATATTGTGCTGGTAGTGACCTTCCAAGTGCTTCTCCGAGCTGCTGAGTCAGCAGCTCGAGGTGCCGGAGACAGTAAAGGCTTTGGAGGAATTCCAGGGTTGCTGCCTCTTCCTTCTGGGCTCTGGCCACACTCTTAGAGATAGGTTTGAGGGTTAAAATAAGGGCCATCCAGCTAAACTGGAATTTCAGATACACAACAAATTCTTTTTTAGTATAAAAATGTCTCACGAAATATTTGGGGGCATATTTACGCTAAAAAAGTATTTGTTTATCTGAAATTCAGATTTCAGCGGGTGTGCTGTTTCTGTTTGTTTCCTAAATCTCGCTGCACAGTTCAGAGGGGAGGGGGCGCAGAGGTAGGGCATGCGCCTGATGTTGCTGAAATATCACAGGGACGAGAAACTGCCTCCTCCTCCAGTAAAATGCCCTCCCTCCTCCAGGTCTGCCAGAGCACGAAGACACAGGGCTGGACCAGATTCTTCTGCCAGGGCGAGCCTACCAGAGTCTGGGGAAGGGCAGGCTCTGTGCTGCGTATCAGCCCTAAAGGTGGGGTGGGGGGAAGTATGAACCTGTTATCTCCGGGCCTTGCTGTCCCATGGCTTCCTCTAATGTCTTTTCACCGATGGTTAACAACTGCCCTGCTAAAGGAGTTGTTGAAGGACTTCTCTTCTGGCGGGTGTCCTCATAAGGAACACTTTTCCAAGTCCCCCCCCCCAGCCTCTCCCCCAGCTGTGCTTCTGAATAGTTTGTGCAGTGTCGGGCATCACCCTTCCTCGCGGCATTCAAGGGCTCTACAAGGGCCTCGGGAGGGGCTTTGTGCCCCCTCTGAGATCCTGGCTTAAGGGTGAATATAAAATCCTTCCAGGATTTCCTGGAGCTTTGCTGAGGTCAGGCTGGCCCTAAAACAAGCGTTTACTACAGGTTCAGGAAGGAATGAAAGGAAGTGAACACAGAGTAGCTGGAACCCAGAGACAGGACCTGGGATCGGTGCTTTCCAGTCGGCCTGATGGTAGAACCCCCTGCGGTGCTGGGAGCACGTGCGCCTAGTTTTCCCTCCCTCTCTTCTGGAAATTCACACTCAGACAGTCTGGGTCCTCAGGGCCTGGGAATCCGCTTTTAACAAGCATTCCAGGTGATTCTGGTTTGCAACAGGATTGAGAACCAGGGTCTTGAAGCCTCTTCCCGTCCCAGCTGCCTCCAGCTTGACCCCAGCATCTGAGAGCCTGGGCCTTGTCTTTGATCTTCCTTATTCCCAAGGCCATTTGTTCCCAAACTCCAGTGAGTTTAAGAAATGCGCGGGTTTTTTGTGGTGGTGGTGTTGCTAAGCGCAGATTTCTAGCCCCATTCCAGGAGAGTTGGTTTTAGTGGGTGCGGGTAGAGCCCAGGAATCTGCATTTTTAAGCTCTAAGTCCTTCTAATGCCAGTGGTCTCTGGACCACGGTTTGAAAAAATTGCTCTTAACAAGGAGAGAAGCACAGAGTGATGACGAGTCCCTTCCGCCTCCCTAAAGGCCAGCTCCTCAGTGACCTGCACTTCTCCTGGTGACTGATACCGGGAATGACCAGTCCTGTCCAGGGCGATCGCATTCCTCCCAGGAATATGGCCCTGACCTGGCCGGCTTACCTTGCTGGGGATAATCATGCCTGAATTCACAGTCACGTGCATTGCTGTAACAGGTTCTCGCACACAGGGCAGAGCACACACCTCATTCCTGCCCTTGAGCATGGATGCCGGACCCCTTGGTTTGGGCTGTGGAGTGGACTTGTGTGGTTTCGCCCTGTGGCGACCTTTGACAATATGGGGAATGACTGGTGCAAAAACCATACACAAGTTCCTAATTCCTCTAGGGTTGGACTGTAGCAAGAATGGGAAAGAATGTCAGCCTTCCAGGGTGAACCCTTCCTCATCTCCATCCCCACCTCCTCCCATCCCTGCCTCAGCCCTGATTCCGCCTCCTGCTGGCTGGGTGCAGGAGACAGGGGATGGCTATTAGTAAACCACTCTTGTCTAGCTGAGGGAGTGGGTCTCTAACCCAAGCACTGTCAGAATTACCTGGAAGGCTTGTTCAGATAAGACTGCCTGCCAGCCCCACTCCCAGTTTCAATAACCAGAGGTCTGGGGTGGAGTCAATAATTTGCATTTCTAACAAGCTCTCAGGTGGTGCTGGTCTGGAACTGATTTCCCTAAACCTTTGAGCCCCAGGAAGCTGTTCAGCTTCAGTAGCTCAGATCAGCATGCTCAGGACAGTTTCTCTCTGCCCTTCTCAGGGTCAGGAACATGCTGGTGTTTGAAGTGAGTTTTTTTTTTTTTTCCCCAGTCCTCTAGGATAATTTCTGTCTGGATTCTGCCTTCCTTATTCATCCCAGTTGGGCGCAATCCGAGAGCAGCCAGCCCATCTGAAGCTGAGCTTGATTCTGAGTGTGCCCTGCCCATCCCTCCCACTCCCGTCCTCCTCTCCCCAGCTCACCCTCTCCCAGCCCTGTTAGTCTAGGACCAGAGCCTGGGCATGGCTGAGGGGCAGGAAGAGGGGCTGGTTTCATCCTTCTCCTTGTCCACCCTCTCCCCATCCCCCTTTCCAGGAACGTGTCTCCTTGTGGGCTCTCTTGACTCAGGAATGGAATTTCCAAGTGGCTGGGTGTGCGGTATGAAGGTTAGTGGGGTGTGCTTGTTCAGTAAGGTGTTGCCAAGAGCCTCAGAGTCCTCCTGGGTTTGCTTGACCCCTGTGGCCCTGTACCTCTCAGGAGGTGGCATTGAGCCCAGCCTTGTTGTATCCCTGAGGTGACCTGCTGGGAGAGGCTGGGGCTTGACAGGGCCAGGACCAGAGCTGGGGAAGCTGTTGTGGGTCAGTTTTGTGAGGATGTGAAATAGAGTGATTAGGACGGAGGAGTCTGAAGCTCTGCAGTCTGGGTTAAAATGCAGCCCTGCCTCGTGCTACCCCATGTAACTGTGGGGATAGCAAACCCAACTTCCTCCCCCATTTTGCAGGAGAATTTGACCTTGGCTTAACTTTGTGTCTCATTCCTCTGGGAACCTCATAAAGGGAGTAAGTCAACTGCCTTTAGGCAACATTGCTTCTGATAAACACGACCTGTTGTGATAAAAATGACTGCAAGTGGACTGGGAGATCTTCTCACACCTGGTGGGAAGCTGTTCTTTGTGCTTCTCTGAGCACAGTGACTCTTCTCACTGGCCTGCCCTTTCTGGCGATGCTGCCAGCTATGATGTGGATGAGTTATAAGCAACAGTGGCTCCTGCAAGGGGTTAAGCCAGGGTGGGTGCCACACCTACCTTTCCCTGCACTGGGGCATGTGGGGAGAGAATAGATTCTGGATGGCTTGATGGACCGAGGTTCTGTGGACTGGTTCCACTGAGGAGGAACTCCCGAGGCTGCCCTGCCTGGGAACCGTGTCCTGTCTTACCCCCTCTAAGTGGACCTGATGCCAGGTGTATCAGTGGTAGTCATGTGAGCCTCAAAATTAGGTAAGATTGAAAAGATCCCTGGCGGACCTCACGGAGTGATCTCTGTATTTATTTTTAACTCTGCGTGCATTTTTCTCTTCTATAAAATGGGGATGATAATGTTACGTACTTCTCTAGGGTTGTTATGAGGATTGTAAGATGTTTAGAAAAGTGTCTAGAACATAGGTATGTGCTGCTACCATCATCACCATCATCCTCATCACCACCACCATCATCATCATCCCCATCACCACTGTTACTATGCAGGGAGGACAGGAAGCCCTTCTACTTTGCATCCATTTCAGTCTCGTCTTTGTTACTAGGTCACTGTATGGCTTTGGACAAATGGCCTCATTTTCTAATGACACAGATTCTTAAAGTATATTTTAGGTGCTTCATTTATGTGTTGGATGAATCAGTGAATTAGGAGAGTCAAATCAATGCTCTTTAGGATCCATTCTGGTTTCAAGTCTAAGATTTTTTGTGATACTGAGAAGAAAGCTGAAAGAAGGACAGGGAAAGAGGTGAGAAACCCCCTGCAGAAGGAATGGTGTCAGGGGTTTGGAGCATTCGGGAGATGGGACAGGTGATCAGGAGGAAGCGAAAGGTGTCCAGTAGTTCACTGACCCCTTAGGTCAGGCCAGCTTTTAAGAGGGATGTACGGTTTTGACCTGGGGAGAAATACTTTCTGGTGCCTGTGTTTCCAGGACAGGGCTGAAGGGATCAGAGGGCAATGATGTTTGGCTAAGAAGAGGTTAAAATGGTTTCTTTTGGTTGTTTTGGAGTATTTCTTCTTCTTGGAGGGCACCACTCCCAGTAGCAATGAGGATGAGGGTTTCTGACCTCCCTCACCGCTGCGGGGAGAAGTCAGCAGTGGCCCCAGCAGAAGAATGACCCTAATATTGTGTTTCTCCCTCCCTCCTTCAGGTCTGAATGCTGGTGCTTTTTATGCCTTGTCCACTCTGCTGAATCGCATGGTGATCTTGCACTACCCGGTAAGGGCGGTCCCTAAGCTTGCTGCGCCCGGAAAGAATGAGGTCTCTGAGTCTGTCTGGGCAGGAGCTGGGGTGTCAGTGGCTGACTCCTGGTTTCCTGAGATCTAGGCAGTGTGGTGTGGTATTCTGCTGTGGGATTTGGAGGGAGGCGGCCCTGGATCTCAGTCCCAGGGCTGGTGGTCCTCAGCTGTGTGATAAGCTGGTTAGCATCTGAGCTCTATTCTCTCTTCTACAAAAGAAGCCTAATTACTTATTGAAAGATTAATTTTAGAATTAGAAGGTAGATTAGAAGGTTTATGTTTGTAAAGAATATAACATAGTGCCTGGTGACACAGTAGGTAAACAAGTACACATATAAAATCACATATGAAATATTTAATTTGTGAAATGTGGGCAAGGTTTAATTTTAAAGTCTTAGTTGCTCAGCAAAAAGCATGTTTTAAATGTTTCCAGAACCAATAAGGGCTGGATACTGGGAATGGGACACTGAGTATCCTGGAGTTGAGAACCCAGGTCCACCTCTCTTTTTAAAGGTCAAGGATCTCATGTCTGTGGAAGTAGTGGGTCACCATGGCTGAATGTGCCAGTGTTGGAGTTTGACAGGTCTGAGTTCAAGCCCTGCCTGTGCACTTAATAAAGGCCTCATGGCCTTGGGCTAGTAGGTTAATCTCACCGTGCCTCAGTTTCTTCATCTGTAAAATGGGGAATGTTGATTCCTAGCCTTATGGTGGGGAATTAGGAGAATTAAATGAGATGATGATGAAAAATCTTCAGCATGGTGTCTGGCTCCTAAAAATGCTCAAAAATATATAACTATTATCTTTCTATCCCTTCAGCACTGAAAGCTCAAAAAATACCTGTGTTTGGATATGTGTATTTCAGTTTCCACATCTGTGAAATGATAATCATCATAAACTGAAGGGTGGCTATAAGGATTAAATTTTTATAGATCCATCTAAAAGTAGTTCTAAGGACAGAACTTGGTTCACCCCAGCACCCAGTATCAAGCACATACATACAGGGTCATATTATGTTGGGAGAAGCAATTATTCTAGGATTCTCTTCCCACTGGCAGCTTCTCACAGGCCATCTGGCCCTGATGCTTTCTGAGAATTGGCTCTAATGGAGCCCGAATTTCTTGCCTTTCCCCCTTGCCTCGGGAGACTTTGTTCTATCCAGTGTCCTGTCCCATCTTTGGGCTGTGGTTTTCGCAGGGGGAAGAAGTGAATGCTGGGAGAATCGGCCTGACCATCGTCATTGCAGGGATGCTTGGGGCTGTGATCTCAGGCATCTGGCTGGATAGGACCAAAACCTACAAGTAAGTGACTCTTCCTCTTGGATTGAGACTTGGCGACCCATGTTTGAAAATGACATGTTCATTAGCAACCTAGATCCAAAGATGTGGGTATGACAGCTAGGGGTCTAAGTGGTCAAGCAAGCAGTTCAAATACATCTTCTCTGAGGCTCAGTTTCCCCATTTATAAAATGAGGGAAAGAGTGCCTGCCCTGTGGGAATTGTAGGAAGATAGAGATAGAGGACCTGAGGCTTATCAGAGTAGTGTCCCCCGAGTAGCTTGTGGAAGGAGCAGAGGAAGGAGAAATGAAAATAAACGTGGAGAAGCATCAGCAGGTGGAAAGTGTGGAAACCCTGAAGAGTGGGGATGAGGAGGTGATTCCACTGCCCGTTCCCATGGCTTCCTCGTGGGCCCCGTGGGGTTAGCCAAGGTCTCTGTGCTTCCTCCAGTGCACACTGTACTGTCTTGTGGTTGCTTACACCTCGTTGGTAAATATTGTGGGATGCTTTGGGCCTGATTGCCCTGTGCATTTCTAAGAGCCACTGAGATTTTAGTGGATGCCAGGCTAATCCAGGACACCTACTAAAAATACAGATTCCTGAGCCCCACCCTCCTGCATACCAGTTCAGTAGGAGACTCTGCATTTGTAAAAAGCAACCCAGGTGCCTCAATTCAGTAGCCAGCCTGCAGCAAATGCTCTGGAGGACAGAGACCCAACTGTTGCGTCTTTCCTGTGTTCTGCATGCACTGGGTGCTCAATTAATGCTGGCCTGTAGGGCAGCTGCTGCCAGGCTTGTCCTGCCCTGGGGCAGAGCAACATTCCGGGTTGCTTTGTCAGCGCCTCCAAAGTTCCTAGTGTCTGGAGGCGACAGACAGTGGCAGACCTGTTTTCTGCCACACAAACCCGCTCTGTGAGGCTCTGGTCAGACCAGATCTCCCTCTGGCTGCCTTAGTCAGAGGCCAGCTGAGGCTGTCCCTGCGGGTGTGGCTGCCTGGCTGGACGAGACTTAATTACTGCTGGTGGAGCTGGGCTGCCGGCTTGTCTCTGCCATGTGTCAGTTGCTGACGTCGGCCAGACAGCAGGGCAGTAAGGACTGGCCACCCCAAACCAGGGATCAGCAGCGCCCCTTTTTCCAGGGCCTGCTATGTGGCAGGAGGAGGGAGGGGTTGTTAGCTGGGTGGGGACGTGGGCAGCCGGATGATTCAGATGAACTTGAAAATACAGTGAAAGGGCTGGGAGGTCACTGCAGAGTGTTGATGTCACCAGTTCCTAGTGTCACTGATGTCAGCATCCTGCAGTCAGCCTGGGACATTCTCCCTCTGATACTTCTTAGGGAGAGGAGGGCTAAGAGAGCTCTGTCGTCTGGTTAGTTTGGTGCCAGTTCTTTTCTCCCTGAGGCTCCCAGATGTGCCCCATTTGGTTTTGAGGCTGGCTATGGGAGGGTCAGGTCCCTTTATCTCTGGCTGGGACCACAGGTGGTTTTACTAGTCAGGCCAGTAGTTGAAGAAGCTAAATTTAAACAAATATGGCAAGCAATTAGCTTGTGGGATCAGCGAGAGTGACAGGTGTCCAGGAAACTGCGTTCTGTGGGTGGGAGGGACCAGATGAGGGGAGCAGGTGGAGGAAGGACGAACTCCTCTACCCTCAGCGGTGGCTTTGATGCACGAAGAGGGAACGGCGTCCTTTGGAGGCACGTGGCCTTTTCCAAAGATGCAGCCTCATAGCATGTTAGTATTCCTGTGTGCAGGCATAGAAAGAACATAGGTTTCAAATCCCAGCTCTGCATTTACTCACTGGTGACTCTGGTTAAGTTATTTAACCGGTCTGAGCCCTAGTCTCCTCATTTGTCAAATTAGGAATAGTTGTACATTTCTTTTCTTTTCTTTTGCCAGTTGCATTGAGCTATAATTGACATTTGGCACTATGTAAGTTTGAGGTACAATGATTTGATTCACATACATGATGAAATGATTGTCACAATAAATTAGTGAACATTTGTGACCATGTATAGATATAAAATTAAATAGAAAAAAATTTCATGATGAGAAATCTTAGGATTTACTCTCTTATCTTTCCTATATAGCACACAGCAGTGTTAATTATGTTCATCATGTTGTACATTGTATCTCTAGTGCTTATTTGTCTGATAACTGATGTTTGTGCCTTTGAACTACTTTCATCTGAGTCCCCTTTCCTCCCCACTACCTCCAATAACCACAAATCTGATCTCTTTTTCTATGAGTTTGCTTTTTTGTTTTAAGTATTATTGACCTACAACACTATGTTGGTTTCTTTACACAAAATAGTGATTCAATATTTCTATACATTTCAAAATGATCCCCAAGATAAGTCTAGTTACAATCTGTCACCATATCTAGTTACAATCTGTCACCATACAAAGACATTACATAGTTATTGACTATATTCCTTACACTGTACATTTCATACCTAAGACTCATTTATGTTGCAACCGCAAGTTTGTGCCTCTTAATCTCTCTCACCTGTTTCTTTCCTCCCCCAACCCCATCCACTCTGGCAACCACCTGTTCTCTCTATCTGTGCTTCTGTTTTGTTATGTTCGTTCACTTGTTTATAGTTTTTTAAGTTCCATGTATAGTATCATACGGTATTTGTCTTTCTCTGTCTGACCGTTTTCACTTAGCATAGTATCATCTTGGTCCATACATGTTGCAAATGGCAAGATTTCATTCTTTTATGGCTGAATAATATTCCATTGTGTATATGTGTGTGTATGTATATGTATATATATATATGTGTGTGTGTGTATCTATCTATATCTCCATCTATTTGTTTTCTTTATCTGTTCATCTATTGAGGGCACTTAGGTTGTTTCCATATCTTGGCTATTGTAAATAATGTTACAGTGAACCACGGGGTACATATATCTTTTCAAATTAGTATTTTCATTTTCTTTGGCTAAATGCCCAGGAGTGGAATGGCTGGATCATACAGTAGTTCTATTTTAAACTTTTTGAGGAATCTCCATACTGTTTTCCACAGTGACTGTACCAATTTACATTCCCACCAACAGTGCATAATGGTTCCCTATTTTATGTGCTTGTTGGCCATATGTATGTTGTTTGTTTTTGATGTTGAGTTGTATTAGTTCTTTGTATATTTTGGATATTAACCCCTTATCAGATATATCATTTGCAAACATCTTTTTCCATTCAACAGGGGGCCTTTTAATTTTGTTGATAGGTGTGGTTACCCAGCTAACTCGGTGGGTAGAGCATGAGACTCTTATTGTTGTTGATTGTTCCCTACGCTGTGCAAAAGCTTTTTAGTTTGATGTAGTCTCATTTGTTTATCGTTACTTTTGTTTCCCTTGCCTGAGGAGACATATCCAAAAATACATTACTAAGACCGATGTCAAAGCATGTACCACATATATTTTCTTCTAGGTTTGTGATTTCAGCCTTTACATTTAAGTCTTTAATCCATTTTGAGTTTCTCTTTCTACATGGTGTGAGAGAGTAGTCCTGTCTGATTCTTTTGGGTACAGCTGTCTGGTTTTCCCAACACCATTTATTGAAGAGGCTTTTCCCCCATTGTATATTCTTGCCTTCTTTGTTGTATGTTAATTACCCATATCAGTGTGGATTCACTTTGGAGTCTCTGGTCAGTTCCATTGATCTGTGAGTCTGTTTTGTGCCAGTTCCATACTGTTTTGATTACCATAGTTTTGTGGTATAGTTTAAAATCTGGGAGCAGTGATAACAGTTTTGTTTGACTTTCTCAAGATTGTTTTGGCTATTTGCGGTCTGTTGTATTTCCATAAAAATTTTAGACTTATTCTATCTCTGTGGAAAATTACATTAGTATTTTGAGACAGATTGCATTGAATCTGCTGATTGCCTTGGGTTAGGTTGTTTGTTTGAGATTTCTCATTTTTTCTAAGATAGGCTTGTATTGCTATAAACTTCCCTCTTAGAACTGCTTTTCCTGTGTCCCATAGATTGTGAATCCTTGTGTTATTTTCATTTGTCCCCAGGTGTATTTTGATTTCTTCTTGATTTCTTCAGTGACCCAATGGCTGTTTAGTAGCATACTGTTGAGCCTCCACTTGTTTGTGTTTTTTGCACTTTTTCTCTTGTAGTTGATTTCTAGTCTCATAGTGTTGTTATTAGAAAAGATGCTTGATATAATTTGAATTTTCTTTAATTAGTCATATATTTCTTGTAGGGCTTTTATAAGTGTTGAATGAAATAATAAATGCATGTAAAGTGCTTAAGAGAATCCCTGGCACCCAATAAATGCAGTATTAGTTTATCATAACCATACTATCTATCTGCTGGTGCTCTCTGACTCCCATCATGTTTGTGGCTTCAAGGGGGATGAGTAAAGGCTTTTAGGCTTTGTCCATTCTCCATTGTCTGGTGCTGATGTCTGTGGCAGGGGCGCAGAGGGATGTGCAGAGCCCATTTCTTCAGTAATAGGACAGGAAGAGGAATGCAGGTCCAAGTGCAGGAGTCGGGGCCATAGCAGAGTCCTGAGTGGGCAAAGTGGGCAGAGGGGTATGTGGAGGGGCACAAGTAGGGTGAGCCCAACACAGAAACCAGCACGTTGCTGACGGTCCTTCTGAGGGTCCTGCAAAGGGAAGTGCACTGGAAGTGGCAGAGCTTTCTCACCCTGGCTTTGGGAGTCAAGGGCTTAGTTCTGGGCTAGAACCTCCCTTGGTTGCCCTGTGTAGAGCGGAATAGTTCAGACTGAGCCTGGGAAGCTGTGCTGCGTCTGTGCAGGTGGCAACAGGATGAACTTAGAGACGCTGGAGAAACTCTCAAAGTCAAGTCATTGCCCAGCATTGTCATGGGGACTGGAGGCAAAGCAGACAAGCAGAATTGACTTCTAGGGTCCCACATGCCACTGCTACCTGATCACAGCTGATGTGTGTCCTGTTTGTTTGTTTGCTTGTTTGTTTTTAGGTGGAGGGGAGGAGGAGAGGAAAGGGCTTTGGGCTTCTTGCTTGTGGGCAGGTCGCGACAAGTCCAGGTGCAGTGTGATCCTGTCGAGAGGGTTCTGCAGGAGAACACAGAGCTGCAAGATGGCTCCATACTGTCCTGGTCTTACCTTTTGTGGCACTGACCATGGTGTAATTAAATAATTATTTGTCTGACCATTGGTTTGGTGTTCACAAACCTCATGGACAGAAAATTCTCTGAGAGCTGGGTGCATAGAAGGTGCCCAATAGGTGGGAGCAGGGAGGGAGGGATGGAGGAAGGGAGGAAGGAAGGGGAAAAAAGATCTTGTTAAAGTTCACAGTATATGACTCAACTTCATTGCTTCTGCTTGTAGGGAAACCACCCTGGTGGTCTATATCATGACTCTGGTGGGCATGGTGGTGTACACAGTGACCTTGAACCTGGGATACCTGTGGGTAGTGTTCATCACAGCTGGCACAATGGGGTAAGTTTCATCTCTAACCTGTTTACCAGGAAAGCAGCATCCCATGGCTCCTAGAGCTGCCGACATCCTAGGAAGCAGTATGGATCCCTCTGCTGGTTTCTCACTGACCTCCAGAAATGTGGAAATGGGGGACAGAGGTCATATTTACTTGTAGGACTTCAGAAGGCCACCTGGGGCTTCAGGGCCCATTCGTGCTGATAGGATAGGCTATGTCCTTCACAGATGTCTGGGAGGCTAGGCAATGTTTAGAGTCTTTATTAGCTCTGCCTGGGACAACATGGCATCACGGGAACTATGCAGGGCTTGGAATCAGAAAGCGTGGGACCTGGTCTCAGTTCTGCTGCTGACCATCTAAAACCACAGGCACCTCCCTTAATCACTCTGAGACTCAGTTTCCTCATCTGTAAATGAATATGAGTGGCCTGCTTTGTAGAGTTGTTGGAAGGAATGAGAGAGAGAATCCATGTGAATGCAGCACAAAGTGAGGTGCAGACGCAAGAGATCAGTGCTGGCCATTTCTAGACCTACTGTATGAGAAAGTGTGGGAAACGGTGCCCCTTCCACAGGGGTCTCTGCTCAGCTTTACTTCCCACTTACCTTCCTGTGGGCGATACTCATGTGCCACACACACCCAGTCCTCAGCTGGTGACTCTCTGGAGAGAAAGAAGGAGGACTCTGAGTTCCACCTTCCAGGTCCCAGAGAGCCATGGAGATGCTGTTCAGTACCCAGGGACTACCCCCTCCCAACACAGGGCCTGTGTACCCATCACACAGAAGTTCTCAGCTGAGGCCTGAACATTCCAGGCCTCCAGACCCCTTGTAAATGCTGACCCCATCTGTAACTGATGCCTGAACATAAAAGAAGCAGGAGACCCCCAAAGATTTCCTGAGCCCAAAGCCTGAACTTCTTCCTGGCCTGCCAGCATCCCACTTTCCTGAGTGGCCACCTAGGGGATGACCTGATTTTCAAGGTCCTGACATCTCTTAATGGAGGAAAGAGAACAGGAAAGGAGGTGTAGGGAGGAGGTAGGCTCCCTATCCTCCTTTTTCTGGACATTCTCCATCACCTTGTTTCTGTGATCTGGCCTTCAGCTTCTTTATGACTGGCTACCTCCCTCTGGGATTTGAGTTTGCTGTGGAGCTGACATACCCAGAGTCAGAAGGCATGTCATCCGGCCTCCTCAATGTGTCTGCCCAGGTAGGACTCTCACTTGGGGGTGGCCCTGAAGCGGAGGCTCTTCCCACCTTCCCCTGCCACCCCAGGCTTGGCCAGTGTAAGCCTTGCATGTGGCAGCTCAGTTTCCCTGTGGGATGGTTGGCTGGGCCCTTGCTTCCAGACTTCTCTGTCCCTTTGCAGGTATTTGGGATCATCTTCACCATCTCCCAAGGCCAGATTATCGACAACTATGGAACCCTGCCTGGGAACATCTTCCTGTGTGTGTTCCTCACCCTTGGAGCAGCCCTCACTGGTGAATTGGGGTCTCAGGACAATATGATGCTCTGGCTGCTCATGGGTTTAGGCTGTTGGCAATTTGGGGCCCCAGTGTCTTGACTGATCATATAACTAGGGGTTCACAAGCATGAGGGAGAGAGGAAAGGGCTTGTTAGGAACTCCATTTGACAGGAATGCATGTTTTGGTGGAATTAACATAGGTTTTGGCCCCAAAAGACCCTTGTATGAATCCTAGGCTATGACACTGACCTCCATAGCTTTTGACTGTGGGCAAGTGGACCAGCTTCTGGGCGCTTCATTTCCCTGATCTGTAGAATGGGGATTGTGAGGATTGGAGCAGTGTGTGCACACTGCCTGCAAATAGAAGTGATCTGTTAGTGGAGACCAGTGTCATCACTGGCTTCTGCCTGTCAGGGACAACAGTGGTCCCCAGGCTCCATCAAGTTGGCTGAAGGTAGCCCCAGTTCCCTGGAATATCTGAGGGAGGTGTGGGATAGCTGTGATCCTTAGCAGAATGAGGGCGCCCTCTGGCGGATGAACTTGACCGTTGTTCTGCTTGATAACTGTCTCTGTTGCCCTTCCTTCTGGATCCCTGGACCTCAGCATTCATTAGGGCAGACCTCCGGAGGCAGAAGGCAAACAAAGAAGCTCCTGAGAATGTGAGTATGTGGGAGCTGCTGGGCAGAGATCTGGGCCCCGGGTTGGCTGAGGATGTGGCGTCAGGGGTGGGGGTGGGGGGAGCTCCCAGAGTAGCTGGTTTGGTGGGGGCTCTGCATCACACACAGCAAGAGTTTCCTCAGGGGGTGTCTCAGCCCTGCTTTTCTGCTGCCCTTTCCTGGGTTCCTCTCCTGCTTCCTTCCCTCCTCCTGGCCCCCTTGCTCTGCTCTCCAGAGTGTGTCACTGTTGTCACAGTCTGCTGAGCAACACCCTCCCCTTGGATCCCAACACAAGTCCTGAGGCCCCGGCCCCTCCCCTTTCAGCCGGCGGTCAGTGGCTGGAGAGGAAGGGTGGGCACCAGGCGGCCCCCATTCTGTCATGGCGATGGTGGCCTTGAGGCAGTTTCTCCCCTGGCAGTGCCATGGGGATGGAGGGACTGGACTAGCAGGTTGTCAGTAGAGCTGTGAAAGGACAGGTCAGGAGCAGGAGTTGGTGGTGGGGGAAGGGAAGAGGTGCAGGACAGAAGAGTGATCTAGCCCAGGAAAGTGTCCCCATCTGCTCTCACTGGCTGCGAACTATTTTATCTAAAGTGTTAGGTGTCAAATCTGTGCCAGGATGAAAGGAATTTCAACTCTGAGAAGGAGTGAAAGTGGGATGCAAAAATAAATAAATTAAAAAAACATACGCACAAAACCTATTACAGAGGTAATACATGTTCTTTGAAGGAAAAAAACTGAAAAATATAGAAAAGTGTATGAAATTTAAAAGTCATCTATAACACCATCACCTGGAGATGAGGTGCTGGGTTTTTGCATTACTTTATATGTCTATGTCCGCATGTAATATATATGTGTATATATGTCCACATGGAATATATGTATGTGGAGATTATATGTATGTATTTTTTAAACAAAAATGGAATCTTGTTCTGTCTGCTTTTTGCTAGTTGTGAACACTTTATCAGGTCATTAGTCCCTTACAACACACTTTCAATGACTGCACAGTGTTCTAATGATGCACATGGATAAACATGATTTACTAACAGTTTTCCAGCCTGAGAACATTGAGGTTGTTTCCCATTGTTGATATAAACAATGTTGCGATTGATGTCCTGGAAGCTGAAGTTTTGGGCATGTTCTTAAGCACACTGTTTCCTTAGAAATGGATCAGTGGGCTTGGATATTTTTAGGACTTTGATGTATATTGCTGAACTGTTCTCTAGAAGGTACTGTCGGCACTACAAATTTACATTGCTCTAGCCGTGTGTGAGTGCCAACATTGAGGATTTATCATTTTGAAAAATCTTTCCCAATTTTCTAAGGCGAAAAGAGTATCTGAAAGAGATACATTTAGCATTTTAAGGATACATATTGGCAGATGGATGATAATCTTTAGTTCCTTCCTGTCTGTCTTCTGATCTCAGGCTCTAGAGTTGGCAGGCAGCAGCCAGGGGCAGGTGGAGGGAGGCACCTAGGACAGGAGATTCCATGGGAGACAGGGAAAGCCTGAGACGGGAACATTATTGTCAGCAGCATGTGGGGACTGTGGCATCACCACTACGTGGCATGGATGAGGAATCGTGTGATTTGGAACACTTTGGTGACTATATCGTGAGCCTGGGAAGAGGTGCCTGCAATGAAACAGGATAGATTTCTTGTGAAAAGCTTTCAATTTGCAATGTGATATATTGTGTCAAGTGATAAGAGACTTTGTTATGTTTACTTTCTAATCTGTCTTTCCCTTGGCAGACATAGGCAAACAGGAAAGTAAAGGTCGCCTGTAATTCTGGCACCCAGAGATAACCTAGTAACATTAGTCAAGTGGGCTTTTGTACCTTGCTTGTTTACTTACAAGAGCTTGACAACCTTTCTACACCATTGCATCCCCAAACCGCACAACTACATATGTACATTTCCATTTCCTCTTGCTTATTATTTAGGATGTTCCATATTTTACTCTCCTTGCAGCCAGATGCTTGTCCATGTGGTCCAGGTTTGTTAAAGGTTGGAGGTGTTGGCTCAGTACCTTCCGTGTGGACTGAGGGAAACAGCGCTCAGTGGGAACAGGAGACCAATCCTATGATGGGTCTCAGCTTTCGGTGTCCCTGGATACTCAGTGTATGTCTCTAGATGTCCCTTGTATCTGGGGGAGTCTGGTGTTAATGGGGGGGGGAGTCAGAGTCGTGCTGGAGTGACACCCAGGGAAGCTCTGGCTATCAGAGGGCATCTCCAGGAGCTGTCCTTTCACACCTCAAGGTGGTCGGTGTAAGTGGGACCTGCAAACTGTCACACGGAGTCACTTTCAGAGCCAGGTGAAGATGGGGCAGGCAGGGTATCTGGGCAGAGCTGCTCTTTCTAATCAATGAGGTGTGTTGTTTTGGTAAAAAAGAGACTGAACTTGTGGCTTGGGGGTAATGACTGACCTTGATGATGAAAATCTCCCTTTGGGTTTGCATTTTTCTTCCAGTTGGTAGTTCTCGGCCACAGAGAGACTGACCCATGTTTGATTGTGATTTTGAGGTGATGGCTCTGGAGGAGGTGGCTGTGTGTAGGTGTGTGTGTCAGAGAGAGAGGAGATTGCCTGATTGGCTGAAGTCAGCTGCCGGCTGCCTGAGTGAGGGCTTCTCATGGCTGATGTGGACCTGGTGCCCAAAGTTAGCAACATGGAGAATGGGAAGTTTGGGTTTCTCCGGCTGTTACCACGGCCACGAGCTGGCCCTGAGACATCCTTGGGGAGGGAGCACCATTTGTCCAAATGATTGTGGAGTCTAGCTTAGCCCTGCATGTGCTCCTCCAGCCCTCAAGGTGCTGGCTGTGGGGTGCTGGGTCTGTGCACGAGTCCTCCTGTCTAAAGAGATGAGCCCTTGAGGGAAGAAGCAATGTGTTCCGAAAACAGGAGACAAATGCCCACGTTGGCAGTTGGCAACTAGGGGCTTCACAGGATAATTTCCAACCTCTATTTAATTCCCACTCAGTTAACAAGCGTAACGGAGAAGATCTTCCAATCCTGTGCCATCTTTCCCCATGAAACCTGAAGCCAAACTGACCAAACATCTCCTTTTTCTAAGCAGAAAAAATATATATACATATTTTGAGCCATTGAGTTTATATGTGCTATTATGCATCCTGCTTCTGTAAAATTCTTTGTTGCATCTGTTCTTGAATATTCCCCATCCTGGGGGCTCCCTCTGACTGGGGGTTGTCAGCAGTTCTGAGGGAGGTGTAGACCTGGCCCTTTGGAGAGCCACGGGGGTTCCATCCAGGCGGTTAAGCTGTTGGAGTTGGGAGCGGGGTGAGCGGAGATCAGTGGCTCTGGCAGTGCAATGGTTTGTGGTGGCCGTGGCATCACATAAAGCTGGCCTTTCTGTTCTTCCTTTGATGCTGTTGTGACGGGGTGTGTGTGTGTCTGGGGAAACCCCAGTGGCAGGACTTGTGGCAGGGCTGATGCTTCTGTCTTGTTCCCTTTGTTCGCTGTCAGGGATGCTGAGTGCCTCAAACTCTGATTTTTCTCCACAGAGTACAGACTCACTGACAGGCAGATGCTCCAGCAGGAATGGAGTCCCCTGCCCCTTCACCCCAAGGGCTGCTCCCTCGTTTGTCTTGTAGAAACTCCAGGAGGAGGAGGAGGAGGAGGAGAGCAAACCCAGCAAAGCCCCCACTGCTGTGTCCGAGGAGCACGTCTGAGAGGCAAAGGTGGTGGCGACTCGGGGAACACGGAGCACGCCACCTCTTCCATCAGCTCAGCTCTCCGCCAGCACAACTGGCTTCTCTGGAGCAGCTGTTGGAGGGAACCAGCTGGAAAATCCAGGGGTGGACAGCTGTGCCTCTGCCTCCTGGGACCCGCTCCTGAGCCTGCGTGCTCCACTGGGGGGAAATGGCACTTTTCACCAAATGCAGATGGGACTCCGTCCCTCCCCGTCGTCTTATGGGAGCCAGTGTTGGGAGGCTGGAGAGGTCAGTGGGGTCAGTCTCAGCTCCCCACCTTGCCTCCCCTCTCCACCCCCCACCCCTCGGGAGAAAGCCAGCAAAATTATCAAGGAGAGAAAGCTTATTCAGGAGATTAACTTTTTCTAGTGAGTGTCTTGAGAAGCAGTCCAGTTGTAAAAGGAGCAGCAGCTGCTGTGGATGAGGGTCACTCTCGGGCGATCAGACTGATGGCTCCAGGTCGTGGGAGAGAAAACACCATCAGGACAAAGCCCTCAGGACTCTGGGACTAGGTTCTCCCGGCTAATGTCGGGGTCTCTCTCCAAACCCTCTTTCCTAAGAGCTGATCAAACCAAACATCAATAAACTTGAGAAAACCTTTGTTGTGGGCATGAGGGAGACTTTGGTTTCAGGGAGGTAACTGCCTTGGGATGTGCGGGTGCTTCTGAATTGGGGAACTCTGGTAGCCTGTTTTGGGCAGGGGAGGTTTCTGTCTACATAAGAAGTCCTGGCCCGGGGACTTGGGTGTGAACATCACCTCTGCTGCCTTCATCTGGACGCTGCCTCAGTGCTCGGGTCTCCAGAGGGAGGGCAATCCTGCCAACTTCCTGTGACCTTTACTGAAAACTAAGCTGGATTCCTCCCCCCGGAGAGGTCCAGAGCGGCTCTGGGAGATGAGAGGAGAGGGGCAGGACAGGTGGGTCTGCTTGACTAGGTAAGCGTGTTCCGCCTCTGGTGGGGACAGTATTTGCACTCCCAGCCTTTCTCCCCACCCGCTTCTGGCAGTAATCCTTGAACAGATGTTCTGAACTTAAAGGGATTCCCTTCCAACTGGCCCAAGCTGACCTCTCCCCACCTTGCCTGCTGTCTGGCTCTACTCGTGGGCTTGGGTAGTAGCTCCAGACACTTGAGGGCATTTCTCCTGTGCGTTGAGCTCTGTGATGATGGCCACTGTGCTGTTTTGCTGAGGCCACAGTAGTGGCCACAGCATATTGGAGCAGCCTTCGTGGCAGCAGGGCTGGGGTGCTTGGGCCACTGTGCAAGAGGAGCCCTGTGTGTGTGTGTCTGTGTGTGTGTGTGTGTTTACAGATACTCTGTACATAATAAAAGGTGTTTACACTTTGATGGAGAAGTGAGTTGATGGGTGGGAGAGAGATGAAGACAAAAGTGTACCTTACCTTTTGGATAAGGAGAAAGTGTTTACTCTTCAGCCCCTTAAAATGTATAAACAATGTTTACTGAAACCATTTTTTTTGAAGTACAGTTGATTTATAATGTTGTGTTAGTTTCTAGTGTACAGCATAGTGATTCCATTATACATATATATTTTTCATATTCTTTTTCATTATAGGTTATTACAAGATAGTGAGTACATTGCTTTATTTTAATAACATAATTTGTATTTTCTATTTGTTAATACAAGATGTTTTAAGGCAAGAAAAGATTCTCCGTGTGGTCTGTCTTGTCACTGGGTAGGGCAGAGATGGCTTTGGAGGTGTGGGGACAGGCTGGACTAGTGGAGACTTGGGGTAGAGGAGTCACTCCTGTGGCCTTCCACTGAGGTGGTCTTCTGTTGACATAGACGTTGCCATCTTAGTGGGTTAGTTTTAAACGTGGAGGCTGAGAAGTTCAGGTGGCCCATGTTGGGGACTGCAACTCAACACCCAATATACGATTGGGGCCATTTCCCATACAGCGTCCACATGAAGACGGTTCACCCGAGTATGACTGCTACCAGGAGAGTCCCCTTTGTTTTGGCTCAGCCTCAAAAGGTGGATGAAATGTTTATGAACCAATCACAGCATCCACACCCCAGATCGCACCTGCCAGAATTGGTTTGGTATCTGCAGTTATTCTGAATCACTTTTCTTCTGCATTGTCCTACTTGTTGCCACTCTCCCCTTCCCAGTTGTGTGTGTTACCTGGATGGGCTGCAGCGATAAGTTTTGTGCACATTTCTTCTCTAGAGACCTGCGCTGTGCCTGTGGCATTCTGGCACCATACTTGTTAACAGTTCTCAGCTGGAGAGACAACATAACTACTCCACTTTAAATCATCTGGGAAGGGAGCCAAGCCTGGGCTGTTAGAGAAATCTGATATTCATAGTATCTGTTATATTCTGTCATTTCTTTAGATCCTTCGGGATCTTGTCTTTATTTATCTGGAATGTTTCTGTGATACATGACTAGAGGATCCACATCATTTTACACTCTCATTCAGTCCTTTCTTAGGTTGGCTCCCTGTGGACCTCTACTTTAATGTTGACTGTGTAAGATCATTGCTTTTCTTAATGTTTCATTAAAATAGTAACAGAAAGGTGACTTGTACTGCTGATCTGTTTTTCCAGGTGTAGTATTGTGGGGATGTAAGCCTGGAATGGCACCATAAAGGAAGTCAGCTTGAGAATGAAGCCAACAGAGGAGGGTAGAGTGGGAAGAATTCCAGAGAAATGGAGCTGAGTCCTGAACAAACCATTCCTGAAGCCTATAATCCTCTTTCCAGTTTCGTGAGCCCATGTTATCTTTATTACTTAAGGTAGATTTTGTTCCTTTCACCTATAGAGCCTTAACTGATAGAGAATTCCTGTTCAAGTATCAACTTCAAGCTTCCCTTCATGCCCTCACAAGTCCCCTGTCTCCCTTTCTGACTTGTCTCCTACTGTCTACTTTCTAACTTCACTATTTTGTAGTTACAGTGATCTTACTCCTTGAGTAAGACTAGATGCCCCCTCTGCCCCAAGTGCCTGCCTTGTGTCTTAAGACATATGATCCCCGGGATTCAAGTCTCAACTCAGATCCCATCTCCTCAGGGAGGCTTTTCCGGATGGGGATCTAAGTTGTGCACCTCCCTCCCCTTCCTGATCACAATACCATGTTTCCTAGAGTTCTTACACTGTTTGAGGTTATTCTTTCAGGTGTGGGCTTGTTGATAGTCTGTTTCCTTGACCACAGGAGCAGGGACATGGCCTGGGTCATTCATCTCTCTTTCCCGAGTGTCTGGCACGGAATAAGTGTTCAATAGACACTCACTGAAATAGTGAACGGGCTCTCCCATGCCTGTGCTGTGCCCGAGGGCCCAGCCAGCGTGGACTCGGGGTTGTGTGTGGAGGGCAACCGTCTGCTCCAGTGCCTTGTCCTTGGGGTCCAGTGTTCTCCTTTCCATGGCCATGTGTCTGTGTCTTCTGTGCTGCCCCGTTCTGCTTTCTCAAGAATCTGTTTCTTCCTTGAGAAGAAAACAAGAAAGGGTTCTAGCCGTTCAGTTGTGAACTTAGAATCTTGAAGGTGGGGAAGGAGAGGAGAAAGATTTGATTTCACAAGAAATGAGCAAGAGGCAAAAGGCAGCCAGGCTTGCCTGGGTCTTGTGCTGTCCTACTCATTATGGTGGGCGTGATCAACAGAAAGCTGTGATTCTCCTCCGTTAGGGCTTAGAGGGGGCCAAAGTACAAGGACGGATCAGAGTAGAGGGTTTTTCTATTTATTACAAAATTCTTTACACAAATACAACTGACCAGAAGGTCTAAAAACAGCCCAGACTCTTCCAACCCTGATCCACCTGGAGGCACAAGGATAGGAGTCACGCTCACTCGCAGGGGAGCCCTTCTTTGAAGAACTGCCTGTCCCTTGGATGGTTCAGAGTCTCGGGTCCAGCAGCAGAGAGGAGTCCAACCTGGATGGACAACCTCTGGAAGCAGCCCTTAGAGGCAGCTGCTCTGGGTGAGGCAGCAGCTTTAAGTTTCACAGTTCATGTGTTCCCACCATACAAGTCAAATCAAGGGGTCAAAATAAAAGGAAAAAAGCAGAAGGCTGGAAGAGGGACCCTGGAAGCGGCTGTGGGTGGGGAGAGGGCACACAGTGGGTGTCTGAAGTGCTGGCAATTTCTTGATTTGGATGGAGGCACAGAGTATTCACTTTAAAATGATTCTTTAAATGGTACATACATTTAAATGGTACAGACTTTACACATGTTATATCTTAAAAATTTCTAAAGAAAAAACGGAAATGTAAAAGGCTAGAAGGGGCTAAGGGGGCTGATGATGGAGCAGAAAATAAGAAATTAAAAAGCACAGGGTTGCAGGAAGATGATGGCAGAGGTGGAAGATGAAGTCTTGGATGTGGTGATGTCGGCCTCAGTTTCTCTTCTTCTGTCTAGATCCTGGTTCTGCTTCTAGGTACCGGAGCCCAACTAGCATACCCAGGATCGAGAAACCTTAAATACAGAGACAAGATAAGTGGCTCACACAGGCACAGCACTTTCTCACACCGCTCGTATGATCGCTTTCCTGCACCGGCCCACGGACTGGGACAGTTCCTGCTGGAACCCTGGGGTCATCGGATGCTTACTTGCCACCATCAGGGGTGCTAGGACGCCAATCGTGGGAGCTGCGGTCCCATAGATGAACAACTCGGAGAGGAAGTGGCCCAGGGCAAGGAGGAAGGTCCAGAGTGTGATGTGGTAGAGCCTACAAGGGAGCAGACGGACAAGGGACCTGAAGGTACTGCTCGTTCAGTGCAGACGAAACGTAGCAGACTTGAAACACACACAAATAGAAACCCAGGAAATGACTCAGGCTAAAGGGAAAGGAGACTTGGTCCCAAGAAAGACTTGGCTGCTTGACCACATCAGTGTATTTACTTCTAGGGCAAAACTGAAGGTTTCAATTGCTAAACCAGTGGGAGGATGGTCCAGGCATTCAGAGTGGAACTCCAAGTCTTAGCAAGGTGGTGAATCCAGCTACAGCAAAGCGGAGTCTGCATTATGGCAATCCTAGGTGGTGTAGGCAATTTTGGATTAATCACCCTTAAATATTCTACTTAAACTGGCTTGACTCTAGTTCAAGCTGACCCGGCAGGTGTTTGGCCAGGGGCTGGTCTGTGCTCACATGAGGGATGCCACAGAATGAAAGGCCTGTATGGGGAATGGGTAGCAAGGACCTCTCTGGGACTTTTAGATGCTCTTGCAACATGAGCTGGTGATTCTGCATCTTAGTCTAGCAAAACAGTCAGATGGACAACACAGTGACAACCTCATGGGAAGACAACTTATTCCTCAGCTTTGACAAGGAGGTGGAGGAGAGAGAGGTTACAGGATGATCGATAAATTGGATTGCTGATATCTTTTTTTAACTATAAAATAAAAAAATTATGAATTACCTCAAACATATAAAAAATTACACGTAACAGAATAGTGTAATTTACCCCTATGCAACCAATACCCTGCTCCATCAAGTCTGAACATTTTGACATTTTTGCTTCAGATTCTTTTTTCTAACAAATAAAATACTAGATATCAGGTAAAGCCCCCTGTGTACACTTTCCCCACCCTGACCCCACTTTCCTGGTTCCCTTCTCCCCAGAAGGAACCAATATCTAAAATTTGATTTTTAGCCTTCTTGTGCATGTTTTTATACAGTTAGTAAATATGTCTGTATGGGAGTTGATTTTGAGTTTCCAGTTAGGGAGAGAATAGAATCAGAGTGCATATGAGAAGTCCATGGACCAAAGTCCCAAGCTTAAAAAGGGTTGGAAATAGAAATCGGCACTTGTAGCTGTCCTGTGTAGGAGAAGGGGAAATGAATGGGTAATGGAGGTAAGGGTGAGTCCAAGCTGTCTCTGCTCATTCCAAAAGCACAGCAAACAAAAGCTACACCCACTACTCGTCAGCAATCTCCATGATGGTGAAGGTTTTGAAAATGGTTATTCAATCCCGACTCCCTCCCAGGCACTCTGAGAGGCAGAACAGATGTACTAGTCTCATTTTACACAGGAAGAGACTGAGATGCAGGGAAGGCAGATAATGAACTCACTGCTACAAAGCCAGTTACCAACAGAACTGAGACCAGAGCCCATTTTCTTGTTTTCATTCTTGGGCCCCAGGCTGTTTCCACTAAACCACACTGCTTCCAAAAATACGTGTCAATCTAGAGCAAGTAAACCACAGTTTCAGGTTCAAAAAAATAAAATAAAATAAAAAAATAAAGCTGGAGTGATTGCAAGGCTAATAGCCCTGCTTCAAATCCCACTTGAGCCAGTCTTCCTCAGTTTAAATTAACTGGGTCTCTAACATGTAGATCTGCAAAATCAGCAATGAAAAAAATCACTACCTCCCAGGGCTGCTAGGAGGAGACAATTGAGGTCACGTAGATGGAAGCATCTGGCATAGTAAGAGGGGCTCAATAAATATCTTCTCTTGCCCAGATCCTGAGAGTTTGGATAAGACAGAAAAATATTTGAGTATGAAGCTGGCATTTTGCTGGTCTTACCCAGAGACCTGAGCAAACTTTCCACCTTGATTGTGGTGATTACTGTTCTTGGGAGAAAGCTCGCGCCCCCTCCAGTGGCCGCCACTGGCTACAACACTATCCAGACAAGAGGCAATGACTGCCTGCAATTTTCCACTCTAGTCTATGTGAGAGGCAGAATACAGATGTCCTGGGTTCT